CCCTCTCGCCATTGACTTGACAGAGTGTTTCCCCTCTCTAAGATGTCTCCCCAAGGCAGACAAGAAGGCTCTGCAGTCCTTTGACAACGTTTCTGTCATTTTAGACAGAGTAACAAGAACTGGAGCTCTTTTGGGAACAAGTGAGTTCTCTGCATAACAAAACAGCTGCGCTGGAGTCAAAGAAGCATATCCACAAAACAACACTGATGTGTCATCCACAAATCACGCCAGACCCGCAAAATACACTCACACACAGCTGCCTTTTCTCCGTTTGTACATGCCAGTTTATCAAAATAATGAACAGTATGCTTATTATGTATTTAGATGAAGACAGATGAAACCACAGCAACTAAACTTTCAAGTTGGAAAAAGGTGTTTAATAAAAGACTTAAAAGGTCAAAGTACTGAGTTTTGAAAGTCTAGCAGAGACACATCATGTTCTTCTGTACTTTTCTCATGCAATAGACATGCAACTTTGGATGAAACTACTTGAAAAACATTTGAAATATAGAGTTTGTTGGTAGAGCCACAATACTTGAAATGATCCAGAACCATCTGTTATAGAGAAGACTGGGGCTAGTTGTCACACTTCATTTTTATTATGATTATTTTTTTTTAGAGTAGGGTTGTTTTTGAAAATAAATTTCACCCAAAAATGAAAAATTGCAGAGTGCTATTTACTCATCCTCAGGCCATCCAAGGTATCTTCATGGGAACAGATTTGGAGAAATTTAGCATCACTTGCGATGCGATACACATCCTCTGTAGTGAAATAAACTCATCGACACCTTGGAAGGCCTGAGGGTGAGTATTTTTTGAAGCAACTGATAATTTTTGTGTGAATTATTCCTTTAAGTATTGGCTACAAAACAGCTATTAAATATTTCAACTTTTATTGCCCAGGAACAACCAAAAGCAGCATGCTGCCACACTATATTGGGTAAAATGTTTATTTTTTTTTATTGACACTGATTTAAGAAGAATGCATTTTTTAAATAACTAAAATTAAAAAGACATTTTTAGGCTACCTCACTATAGAACACATATTAATAAAGCATGTAAAAATCAATCAATCAATCAATCAATCAATCAATCAATTAATATCATTGTTCTACGAGATTTAATTGACAGCAGGCCATTGGATTATTGAAAAAATAAATAAATAAAATGAAAAATAAATAAATGCACACCCAAGCTATCGCAAAACATTGTGGTATACTGTAGTTGGACATGCTACCGATTTTGTATGAATAAATCAATCAACCCAAACTTACCCTTTAATTTCATGTTTGACCATTTCAATCTTCGAAATACTACAGTTCTGAATTTCACTTTGTTTTATTTCTCTTCTCCTGCCCTTCAGACACCAGATGCTGTTTAATTCAGACAAGTGAACAAAGGATAGATTCCCCCAAAACAGACTCACTGAATAACAAAAGTTGTGTTTTTGAGGGATGAAAGTGTCCTTTAATCTTCAGCTTCATTTTTATCTGTACAGTTTACAAATATCTTTTTATTTTCCATTTGATGTATTGTAGCATACAAATGACAATTGAATAAACAAAGATAACAACAAATACACAAAACAAAACCCAGAGGCAGCAATCATGTACAGTAGGCCCTCTACACAGATCAACATGGTGAAAAAGTAGTACACAGCATACCTACGGGGAAAAAAAAAATACATGTGTGAACTGAACGCAATGTTTGTAGACACTTAATTACGTTTATTGCAATTTAACGAAATGCATTCGTTTAATTTTATATGAAATGCAATAGCTGAATTTTAGTGCTTTTTGAGTCACCAGAAAAGTGCATCTTTATATGTAAATTTCATATTTACTTCTATTGTATTTGAAATGTGGTGAATATGCTGTACTGCTGAATGCACTGACAAGCATTAATGGTAAACTGAAATATACTTCGATGCATTTCTATTGAAATGTATATGTATTTGTAAAACACATTTGTATGGAGGAAGTTGCAGTAAAATATATTACCTTTCAATATAATATTGAATAACAAACTACAGTTTAAAATGTAATCTTTGCATGTGTTTTAGTATGTTAGTCAACACATCAAAATAATTGTGCTTCTTTAAAGCACAACAAAACATAATGATTTAAAATGTACTTTAAAATTAAAGTTTAGAAAGTGTCTCTCTTTACGCACACTTAAGTGGCCTTGTATTTTATTAAAGTGATATACAAGTACAATTTAAATATTCTTTTAAGATTTTAAGTACACTTCGTGTGCACATTCAATACAACTGAGCACACTTTTTCACAGTTTATTCTTATACATTTTTTAATACGTTTGATTCACTATTTTAAATATTTAAAAATTGTGTTGTGTGAAAATATCACAATTTCTTTCTTCAGTATTTTCACAACCTGATACAGGTGACCTTGAAAATAACAGCATGGGATTGCTAATCAGCTGTGATCTTCCCTGCGGAACATCTGTCCTGAGCTTCTTGGTATTCCGGTCAAGAGCTGACGTCTGAAGACAGGCAGAGGCATGGACGAGATTATACACTAAGTTAATAGGAAAAACAAATGTGCGGTGTGCAGGTGTCACAGGCTGACACACAATAAACATCATAAAGATACGTACACACACACACAGACATCAAACAAGAGTGAGATTATATTTCTGAACATCCTAGAGACACTTCCACACTCAGATTTATTTCTGCCATAAACACAGATAAGAATGAACAAGCTTCAGTAAGAGATAATAAGATTTTCTCCTATCAGGCACTTTATGTTATTTACTGTAAAAAGGATTTGGCCTATCAACCAAAGACTATATATTCTTACTTTTTTAATTCGTTTTTTTGCAGAACATTTATCTTAAAATTGGTCAATATGTTTCAATCATTTCTTGATGTAAATCAAATTTGTTTTCTATTATTGCAAGGCCACAATTAGTGAACATAAAGATTCATTTTATTTGAGATTTTTCTCTAAAGTAAATACACCACCAGTTTTCTCACATGTGTCCTATTAGAATCATTCACTCTAAAGCTGGTTATAACATCAGACTGCTGCCATCTGTTAGTGAGCATCAAATATATTCAGGATGTGTTCAGGTACAAGGAGTAATAGTTTAATTGCCATTCTAGGCCATTCTCATTTGTTTCTTGTGTTATTGCAAGATTATGGAAGTGGGTTTGTGAATACAAATAGGTGTTTTACAACAGGGATAAGATGACAAATACCCATGGTACTGTGTCAGTTTATGATATGTCTTGTAACGGAATGATTTAGTTATGCTTTACATGTTATTTATGTAAGCAGTGTAACTATATTAACACTCTAAATCCTACTCACCTGACATATTTATGTGGATTTATTTGATGACCTTTTCTGATTTCTTTTATTTCACATCCAGTTCTGGGAGATTTCATAGCACAGATAATGAATAACAAAATTAAATAACATTGGCAAGCCATTTTTTAAATGGTGAATATGATATTTTCTATTTCTATTTCTGATAAAGTATTTTTGCTTTTACGTATGTATGTTTGCATGTATTTGTTTGTTTAAAAGGTTTGGGTATTTTATTTTAATTTGATGTGTGTGTGGGTGGGGTGGGGGTGGTATTTATAGTTTTGGTATTTATCTATTAACAATTTTATTCTTCCAAATTTTTGACTATGAATTTTGTACAGTACTACTAGGAATATGTAGCAAGCAAACAGGGTTACTTTTGGTCTCATGTTAACTTAAATGTTGTCTTAATGCCAAAGGTACATGAGGCTTTCATACAGCCTTTCAGGCTAGCTAGCTAGCTAGATAGATAGATAGATATTTCAGGATGAGAATGTGTAAGTATGCTTAAGATGCTTACTTAAGATGCTTAAGTATACTTATTTTTTTACGTGGATAGTCAAATGCACAACCTTCAGGCGCTCGACACATGTGCACTAGAAAGATTCATCCTTGACCAGTGTCTGTGCTTTTTCTCCCCAAAAGTTATGAGCGATAAAAATGTTTTTGTCCTGGTCTAAACTACTAGGGGCGGTTTCCCAGACAGGGATTAACATTAATCTTAGTCAAAAATGCTCATTTAAAATGGACTAATTGAAGAAGCATTTCTCAGACATGGTTTAAAATAGTCTCAGACTTTCCCTAATCTTGATATATAAAGTCTCATTTCCAGAAGGAGGATCAGAACTAATCTCGGTGTAAGTGAAGGAATACCTTAAAGCTGGCCAGAGGCAGGTTTATTTTCAGATTAACTGATGTTGGCCTCCAGGTTGATCTTGTCAATGGAGGAAAATGGATTACCTGGACTATTTTAACGATAATGAAAGAACACCACTAAGACCAGACAGAAGGACAGTTATAGACCGGAACAACCCACTGAATGATTTTGATGAAATCAACTTTCGCGACCATTTAGGAGAAGACCTATTCCTCATTCCCTGCAAGTAAGCACTGATCACTTTGAGGTATTTGGCATGTGGAACATTTAATCTTGAAACAGATATTTGTGTGGTAGTGAACCAACTGTGTGCTAAATAGTCTGCAATGCTATATGTGAACTGAAAGATAACTACATCATGCTCCCTCATTGCTGCATCATTGCTGCCCAAGCCATCTGCAAGGTGGAGTTCTATGAATATGGTCAATTCCCTGGAGTCACTGGCTGTATGTGTAACTGGTGTGAATAATTTATTGACTTAATTTAATTTGCTTTCTTTTCTTTCCTAAATTGTATTATTATTATTTTTTATATGCTGTTTATACCGTTATAAATTCTATGTGTTTCATAATAAGAATGGGTTAATGAACTCCACGAAATTTTGTTCCTCTACTATTGTTCGCAAGTTAAAAAAAAATATAACGTTAAAGTCGCGGACTTTTCTTTAGGAGTTTGTCTGGGGAGGGAACGATATCAGTGGAACACATCCGGGGTTTCCCCGCGTGCGACATGTGATAGCCTCAGTCTACCTGTGTGCGAGGCTAATGAGCACATGTAATATGTTCTCCCCGTGAATGACTCTGGTATGGCAATTTATTTACATTTATTTCATTCTTTTCCATTATTGTATAGCCTCAGTCTACCTGTGTGCAAGGCTAATGAGCACATGTACTATTCTGTTCTCCCCGTGAATGACTCTGGTATGAAGATGTTTTTTGTCTAAAATGCATATTTATCGCTGGATGAATGTGATTACTTTAGACTAGCACTCCATTGTGCTAGTTATGATGCAAATGTATATTTTAATGTTATTTAACTAACTTAAACTACATTGTGATGCTAACTAATTAGCATCATATGTTTAGTGTGCCAGAGAGGGAGAAGCTGTCGCCTGTTGATCCACTGATTATTTCTCCTTGTTACAGGTATGTTGTTTAATTAGTTCTGTTTTATAAAAGAAAAGAGATTTAGTTGAATGTGTATTGTACGTAGAGTGTTACGGGAGAAAATCCGAGTTAATGATTCATGCAGTGCGTGACGCACATGGTGCGGCCTACACATAGTACGGTGCTAAACACATTGAATGATTAATTTCACTATGTAACGTATAGGAATACTGATTTATTCATACAAATGGTATTATAATTGTTTTTGTTTTATTTCATTATAGTATGTTTTAATGTATAAATACTTGAATTAATGCATAAGTTAATAATGTAATAGATTTTCACAACACCGATGGGGCTCTTTGAGTTTAATCACTTACCGCAGGGGCTCTGCAATAGCCCCGCTAGCTTTATGCGCCTAATGATGAACATCTTCGGCGATCAAAATTTCTTGACGTTACTCTGTTATCTTGATGACCTACTTGTGTACGCCCCAGATGAAGGTGAGGCAATTAAGAGGCTCGAGATGGTGTTCAGTAGGCTCAGAGAGCATGGGCTAAAATTAGCCCCCAAAAAGTGGGTTGGCAAACCACGCGTTTTGGTGTATGATTCTGTGACTGTTCCGACCATGTCACATAATGGGCCGAATAAACCAAAGTCTTCCACTCCTGCCAATGCTGGTTGTGACAATGTTACGCAGCAACTACGCGATCTCATTGGCGAGCTTGGAAACCAGATCTGTGATTCAATTGTTTCACGGTTGTTAACCAATCAGAATTCTGCATTACCTAATTCTTCTCCATCGTTTGAGCAGCAGCCTTATGGGGCCATACCCCTGTCTACAAGCCTCGATCTGTCCAAGTTAAATCTGATAGTCAAGGCTGACATTAGAGAACCACAGATGTTCAGGGGGGACGGTAGCGATATTGGAGCAGTGACAGAGTCTGATTTGATGATGGAGGATGGGGTAACCCCATCCCAAAGGAAAATTAAATCGTTCCTTGGGATGGTGTTGTATTACCAGAGGTTCATCCAAAATTGTTCTACCATTGCGAAACCCCTGTTTGGCTTGACAGCGGCACCGAGAGGCAAGAAACCTCCGGAGAAGAGTGTTTTGTTCAGGAAGTTGAGTCCTGATGACTGGAAGAAAGAGCACAGTACCTCAGCAGGGGTTGAATCGAGAGCGATCTTCTGGGTTGTCCAAGACATTTCGACATTTGTTGCCTCCTGGGCAATGCCCATTACCAGTCTTCTCGTTAGACGAACTTCGAGACAGGTTGGAACGTGACGTTCTCAGATATGTCAAGTGTTGCAAGCGCTGCGTTGTCAGTAAAACGCCTGAACCCGAAGGCAGAGCCCCACTAGAGAGTGTGAAAACGTCAAGTCCAATGGAGCTAGTATGCATCGATTTTTGGACCGCAGAAAGTTCAAAAGGTCGTAATGTGGACGTGCTGGTCGTAACTGACCATTTTTCTCGGATGGCTCATGCTTTCCCATGTCGTGACCAGTCGGCAAAACAGGTAGCACGACAGTTGTGGGATCGCTATTTTTGTGTGTACGGTTTTCCTGACAGGATCCACTCGGATCAGGGGGCCAACTTTGAGAGCCAACTGATCCGAGAGTTGCTGCAGGTCGCCGGTGTGAAAAAGTCCCGAACAACTGCTTACCATCCAATGGGAAACGGCCTTGTTGGAACATTGATGCTAGTCAGCCACATCAGTCCGAGTTGTACAACCAAAAGACAAAAGGTCGTAACATTGAGTTGGGTGATCAAGTTCTGTTGGCCAACAAAGGTGAACGTGGGAAGAGGAAACTGGCGGACAGGTGGGAGTCCACGCCCTATAGGGTAGTTGCGCTGAACCCACAGTGCCACATTTACCGCATACGTAACACCAAAACAGGTCAGGATAAAACCGTTCACCGCAATTTGCTGTTGCAAGCAAATTTCCTTCCACTTGAGTTGGAGGAACCTGAACCATCTGAGGATAGTGGTGAATCTGTCTTTAGCAGTAGAAGTGTGTCAATGGATGTTGTTGGTCCTGTATCTGATTTGTGTTCTTTGTCTGAGCGAGTCGCCAGTTGGGTGGAAGAGATCGCAGCTTCTGACGACCCTCAGCAGAGGTTGTCCTTCTGTTTTATAAAAGAAAAGAGATTTAGTTGAATGTGTATTGTACGTTGAGTGTTACGGGAGAAAATCCGAGTTAATGATTCATGCAGTTCGTGACGCACGTGGTGCGGCCTACACATAGTACGGTGCTAAACACATTGAATGATTAATTTCACTATGTAACGTATAGGAATACTGATTTATTCATACAAATGGTATTATACTTTTTTTGTTTTATTTCACTATATGTTTTAATGTATAAATACTTGAATTAATGCATAAGTTAATAATGTAATAGATTTTATATCTAATGTAATATTGTAAAATAATTATTGTAATGTATTAATAGGAATATTAATGTGATGTGTAAGAAAGACAAGAGACATTGTAAACAGTATAATTTATTTACATTTATTTCATTTTTTTCCATTATTGTATAGCTTCAGTCTACCTGTGTGCGAGGCTAATGAGCACATGTACTATTCTGTTCTCCCCGTGAATGACTCTGTGTGCCAGAGAGGGAGAAGCTGTCGCCTGTTGATCCACTGATTATTTCTCCTTGTTACAGATTGAGTAAAAGAAAGTGCTGAATCTCATCAATGAGTAGTCGTGTGGTCTTTATGTGTGTGAGGGTGACCGGTCCAGACATGCTACATATGTATGTTCCCATAAAGTGTCTCTCTACAACAGATGCTGAAGAGTACATAAATCATAAAAACTGTTTCTCAATAAATGTACAAAGTGTGTGCACTCCCACTATGTACAGTAGTTTTCCAAAATTGTTGCATGTTGGAAAGATGGAACTTATGACTCAAGGATTTTCCAAAACCCCTCTTGTGTGCTCAGTTGGAAGGAGGCCAACATAATTGAATCATACTTGGTAACAGTGGGTATGCATGCACAGACCAACTTCTCGTTCACCCCTATCTTCATGCAGTCACACCTGAGTAACAGCAGTACAACCAAGCTCACATCCAGCACAGTGTTGACACTGGTGCTGCTTCATGTTTCTCCCCTTCTCCTTCATAGCTAACTCAATGTGACTTATCTTTCATCTTCATTTCATATTCTTCTTTTAAATACTTTAATTTGTGCTCATGAAATTCCATGACCAGTTTCTCATGTATGGTCAGTCTCTTGGTCCTTCTGTCTGGATTAGTGACCTGGTCTTCCCGTCTGGCTGCTTCAGTCGTAGTGGGCCGACCTGCATCCTCTCTCAGGCCGTCCGAGCTCTGGGGATCAACTGGAAAACATTGTATTGATGCATTAAAGATCAGTGTTTAAGTTGTGTTTATTATATATTTTTGTTATGGGAGTATAAGAGATAATGGAGAGCATTACATATTCCCTGAAGTGTGAGGATGGCACATGTTGAATGAATGTTGCCTACCAAATGAGGACTGGACCTGCACCCCATCTGAACTGTCCAGACGGTCATCACTGGGGATACCTTCCAGGGGTTGCTGGCTATGGATGATCGCAGTCAACAAGTCTCCTAGCTCATCAGTCTCTGGTCTTTCTGAAGGTCCACCTGATGCTGACCTGAAACACTCAGCAACAGCTTTTGTCTTCTAAAGGATAGTTCACCCAGAAATGAAAATTACTTCATGATTTAATAACCCCCAAGCCATCCTAGGTGTATATGACTTTTTTATTTAAGACAAATACATGCAAAGTTATATTAAATGTCCTGGCTCTTCCAAGCTTTATAATGTTAGTGAATGGTGGTGCTATGATGGATGGATGCACTTTTTTGGGTTTCAAAATCTTAACCATGATGAGTCATGCTGTTTGTTCTCAGTAATCGGGTGGTTTAACACAATTTGCCTTGAGACTTTTTTTTTTAGTTTTTTTTTTCAAATTCACAGAAAGTCTTTGAACGTTTTATTTTACCTTTGTCCATTGTTTGGTTGGATGATTTACTCCAGTTCTACACAACACTACTGTTTTTTTGGGTTCCATCCCAGGTTTTTCTAGTGTCCTCACATAAGCACTATGTGCACATCATTAAATTGATCAGGCTTCACAAAGAGTAGACCGGGGACCGTCGTGGCCTAATGGATAGAGAGTCAGACTTGTAACCTGAAGGTTGTGGGTTCAAATCTCAGGTCCAGCAGGGATTGTAGTTGGGGGGAGTGAATAACCAGCACTCTCTTCCACCCTCAATACCACGACTGAGGTGAGACCCTTGAGCAAGGCACCGAATCCCCAACTGCTCCCCGGGTGCCGCAGCATTGGCTGCCCACTGCTCTGGGTGTGTGCGCGCGCACACTTAAGATGGGTTAAACGCAGAGCACAAATTCCGAGTATGGGTCGCCACACGTCACTTCACTTTCACTCCCTAGTCTAGTTAATCTGAAGTTAAGAAATGTCTCAAAAAGCCATTTTTTTTAGTCTGGATTAAAGTAGAATTAGCCTAGTTTTGATTTAACATAATCCGTGTCTGGGAAACCACCCTAGAGTTTTCCAACTGTGCACATATTGTGCTAATGATGAGATGTTGGTCATGTGTACTGTAGGAATAGCCTACATCTTTTTGGACACAGCATACAGGTATGTAACTATTTTACATTTTGCCAAATTAGTTAATTCATATTCGTACAATCTCATTTGTACGGTTTTGTACAATATGCTTGGTTTAGGAATGGACCTTCATGCTTGTGTTTTTGTAAAATATTCCTTATGAATAACATTATGCAAATTATTATGAAATCAGCATCTCGTAAATAGTTAAATTTTCTCATGAGATCGAGATGGTTGATGAATCTGGACTCTTTATAGTAATGATCTTTTAGCATGTTTTTGCATTCCTCTAAACTGTTTTTTTTAATTGTTTTTCTACATAAACATGCCAATAATTGTTTTTGTTATTTTTTACTGAAGAATATTTTCATATAAGCAATGGTAGACTATAAACAATGGTTAATAATGGCTACTGTGGTGGACTATAAATGTAGTTGAATGAGGATTTTAAGGCCTGATATTTCATCATAGATTCACTCTGCCAATTTAAACTGCCAGTTCCACGCACACTACCAACAGTACAGTTTCATTTTATCTGTCAGGTTGAAGCTAAAACACACTGGCAACCATATACTTTTCATCTGTGAGTGGCAGGGGAAATAAAAATACAGGAGTTTTTACAGAGAAACAAACGTTGGCTTTTCTACATATATATCACTGAAGTATAAAGAGTTTAGCTCTGGAAAAGCTTTCCTAACAACACCCAGTTCATTTTTTGATAATGCAGAGATTTGAATGCAACGTCTCAAGGATGAAGTCCTTATGCACAGAGCATAAACTTCAGGAGTGTGGTTTGCATATTTTTCTCTGTGCTGCTGGGAGTCTATGAAACGTTAGACAGGTTTTTGAAAGCAAACAGATGGGTTTATACCTGTGGATTAATTCGCTAGTTTTAATTTTGGGTTAATAGTCTGAGGGTTCCTAGTAATTCTGTATCCCAAAGTCTTGTTGGGAGCATTGTGAAGCTGGTCTAAAGCATTTAGCAGAATGTTCAAGTTGGTGAAACAATTAAAATGGATGGTGACCAGGGATATCTGTTGTCACCATTCCCATTCATTGTATGGAGCTCGGCTATCAAGATAGGTATGCTTACGAGTTTGGAAAAATATGAGAAGAATAAATAATAACAACATATTCATTTTTGAGTGAAGTTAATAAAGTAAAATAAAAACAAATCAGTATATGCTTGACCTTTACAACTTTTCATTCAAAAGTAATCAAAAGTTGATAAGCAATAAAAGTTAATAAACAGGTTTTAGTCATAGTCAGGTTTTTCTAATAAAGCTGTGATCAGATGAAATAATGAAATATTTAATTGAATACATTCAATTGATAAAGGAATGTTCCTGGTAGAGGAATGTTCTTGGTTTGAATACAACTTAAAGGGGTCCTATTATGCTTTTTCACTTTTTCAACTTTAGTTAGTCTGTAATGTTGCTGTTCGAGCATAAAAAAGATCTGCAAAGTTACAAAGTTCAAAGTCCACTTAAAAAGGAGATATTTTATTTAACAGAAATCACTTTTCAAAAACTACAAAGAACGACTCGTTTGGACCAAGGTTATTATAGTTTTGAATTTTTAAATTAGTTTTATTTTAATATAGTTTTCAAATTTGCTGTAAAATTCAGTTTAGTTTTTATTAGTTTCATTCATATTTTTGTTAGTTTTAGTTTAGTTTTTATTTTGTGAACGTATTTTTATTTAGTTTTTATGTAGTTTAGTTTCAGTTTTAATTCAAGTTTAGCAGAATTAACAGAACCCTTCCAGAGCGCAGGCCAAAGAAAGACGTATGCATAATTTAAATTTAGTGAGGCAAACATATAGCGACACAAAATTAACGCATGCTGAGATTGATTAGATAGTAAAAGTATACAAATATATGCCAAAGAAAGCAGGCAAGCCTTTTTTACTAAATTAATCAACACAAGTCGTACTTAATGTCATATCCAATGATGTGTTGAGATATTTAGTATGAAAATAAATGTAGCCTGATTTGGTTATACGTCTTTTCTTATTTAACCATAATCATGACCATGCCAATATATCCTCCGATCGGAAAGTGGATAGTATTTAAGGATGAAGCAAACGCTGATTTTTTTCCGACGAACCATTCTCACGGAGGGTAAACGAAGCTGATCTGTACGATCTATTCTTCACCCTGAAAATTAGCCAAGGCGGCCAATAGATCGAGCAAAGCCTCGAACTCGCCTCACTCGACACTACCATTGTCCCGCACAAGACCTGGCTCTCCTCGAGCTTTGGGTTGCAGCGGCAGGCCTTAAACGAGCCTGGGCCGCTCCCCAGTTCTCACCGCGGCTCTTACGGCCGCAGCGCCACATGTAGCCGGGCCTCCAGCTCACGCTAAAGGTAGGTCGTTTGTTGTTAAACGACATGATGACATTATGGATGTTGATGTCATTTTTGTAACCAAGACGCAAAACTGCGTAGAACACACAATTAAATTACTCAAATTTTCTGTATAAATTTTCACTAGCTTTTTACCTGTATTTCAAATTACACATTATACTCAGATAGACAGATAAGATGAAAAAGATTTGATTTTCGTGAAAATCATTTTATGATGCTGTAAAAGTCGTCATTTTTCTCCTGCAACTTCTAACCTCTCTTCCTTTTCAGTGGTCTCCAGCTTTTATAGCACACTAGCATGAGGCTGCCGCTGCAGGCTGCACAGGCTCTCCAGCATTTTCCCCCGAATATCACAAGCCCCCGTGGCGCAACGTTGCCCGCTGGCGTAGCTTCCCAAACTCCTATCCTTCCCCCTCCCTTCCTTCTACCTCCAGTGGCAGACGTTAGCGTGAGGCTGCCTCCGCTAGCGATTCAAGCTCAGCCACCTTACTCTTACTCTTCCGCTACTTTTTTTTTTTCCTATCAATGGCCAGCAGCCCCCGCTGCAGACGTCCAAGCAGGGCATCATCAGCCAGCAACGCAAGCTTACTGGCCTCCTCCCTCATTTCCTTCTACCTCTTCCTACGTGCTTCCCTAAGCACCAGAGGCTAATCCGTGCGTGAGGCTGCCTCCGCAAAAGGTTA